GTGTGTGAGTGAGTAAGTGAGAGAGTGTGTGTGTGAGTGAGAGAGTGAGTGTGTGTGAAAGTGTGTGTGTGTGTGAGTGAGTGAGTGAGTGAGTGAGTGAGTGAGTGAGTGAGTGAGTGAGTGAGTGAGTGAGTGAGTGAGTGAGTGAGTGTGTGTGAAGGTGTATATATATATATTTATATACACCTTGCTACGTGTACTGCGTTAGGCTAACCGAGACTTGTCATTTGCACTTATATATTGTTGCTCTTTTGTTAGTTTTGACTGCTTTTATTGTCCTCATTTGTAAGTCGCTTTGGATAAAAGCGTCTGCTAAATGACTAAATGTAAATGTAATGTAGATCATTTCTATTTTGCGGGAGTCCCGTGAATCATTTTACTCTCCCGCGTCCCGCACACACACGAGTCTCTTCCCGCCCGCACCCGCACTCACCCATTAAGAGTTGTCCCGCGCCGCACCCTGTTGCGTTGGGTCCCGCGGGTCCCGCAGTACTCCCGTGGGAGTGCAGGTCTCTATTTTACAGTAAATTAGAACATTTGTTGTGAAATTCAATTCACTAAATTAACTACAATTGAGATTTTTCACTGCTGTGATAGTGTGTAAACATTTGGTTAACTTATTTAATTTGAGTGCACTGAGAAGGAATATCTCTTTGTATAAAACTGCAAACACTTAATTTATAATAGTAAAGTAACTAAAAACATGACTTTAACTCAAATCGCTGCAGTTCATCGTCAGCAATAGCACACATGTATGTGCTGAAGTACTTAAAGATATCATCACTGCATCAACTCTACATTTACTGCCTTTAAATAAAGCAGCAGAACATCAGTGTTTGGGGCTCATCATTGACTGAAGCACAGGCTCTACTCTCCAGCACAATGGTGACCCACAAAACTACATTAACAGATCTCTCTTGAGCAAAAACACATTAATACAGTTCAGTTAAATATTTACTCTCCTTATAGATAATTGTGAATTATAGAAAATGTGAATTATTAAGTGATGATTGTGCTTTAGAGATGAACAGCTGCTGTTAACAAACAGAATCACTGAATGAAAGAGAAACACAAGAACTACAGCTGACTTCAGCCACAGCCTTAGATGAAATCAACTGAAATAAAATGTCATTAAATCTCTCAAGATATGATTTAACAACTCCAGAAACAGCACTACCAGCTTCACACATTACTAACGACACTGACACTATTTCTGTCAGACCTCTACAGAAGATGTTATTGAGAATTAACAGAAGTTTAGATGTTTTTTTGTTTGTTTTTTGACATTACCATGATGGAGATCAGTGATTTCTTTAGTTGGGCTCTTGAACCTTGACTTTTTAACATTAATGTTTCGTTGGCTGCTGTAACCATGTGTTTTTAAATACATTTGTTGTGGTAAAAAAAAAAAAACCAAGGCAAAATTTGTTGTTGATTATGTTTTGCTGGTGACATAATCATCATTAAACATCAGGTTCACTGATTTTATCTGGTAATTCTTCTCTTACCAAGACGATGTTATGACAATACATTAGAACAAAAGAACAAGCAGGCTGTTATAGTTTTTTAAAAAAAGAATGCGGTGATGTGCTATGAAA